CATGGTTTTATGAATTTTAAGCCAGTTGCCTATAGTGAAGCATGGCAATGCTGAGTGCTACCAGACCCAAGCCCATTTTGTAATTGTCCCTAGTCATATGTACAGTTGCACTGAAGTCGATAGGTCCCTTCTCAATGACTTCAATGGGACTACTTATGTAGTAGGACTCCTGCTGAAATGAGAATGATTTGCAGGATCTGACCATAAGGAAGGAACCCATACTTTCCTCAGTTATGTGGTTGTGTACTGTCTTTTGGCTAAAATGGGTTACATCTGTGCAACTGAAATCAGAAGTGGGGCCAGCTGGGCTGCATTGCTAGACTTCCTGAGAACCTTGGAAACCAGTTGTTAGAGCCAGTATCAATTGCCGCTCTTCAGCAATCACAGAACCTTTGAATTCAATTCATTGTTACCATGGTTTTTGAGCTTCTTGAGGCCACTTGTTCTCACTAACTCCAATATCCACATAGATGGTGAATCCCAACTGTCAGTTGATAACAATTATTGTGGTCTTGAGACTATCCCAGATTGTTTCCAACTCACTCATAAAGCAGGTAATGTTCTAGTTGCAGGGCTGAACTTGTGTGATGAAAGTTGTCATGGACTGAGTATTCCTTCCTGCACTTCGAGGTTATAACACATTGCTCCTAACGGGATCAAGGTTTCTTTGTTCTTGTAGATTAATAGAACTACAGAATTTTCAGTGATCTCTGTAGGGAAAAAAAAATATTTTTCCAGTGAGGCCCTCTTTTGTGAGTAATTTATTGTTGTTGATAAGGTGTCCTCTAGATGTTCTCTCCACCAGCCATAGCCTTACATGTTACTTTGGTTCATGAATAACCTTTGAAAAATGAAATGACCAGGAAGATGAGTGGAGTGTTTGTGGTGAAATCATTGGCTAAAGCTGATTGATTTCACAATAAAGATTTTTAAAATTCTGATGTAGTGTCTGCACATCAAGCTAACGACTGGCACTTGTCCTCCACCAATTTCAGAGAAAGGAGTTTGAGATAGAGGAGCTCAACCTACACTCAGTGTCAAGTCAGACTCCCACCTATGCTGAGGGAATATCTCATTTTGAAGATATAACCATTAGGATGTGGAGCAAAGTGTCAGCATTTGTAAGGACCATATAGCATCTTGAGCTGGCAAACTTTCTGAGAGTTTCTCTGAAATGCTTTTCATATGGAAAATTTATGTCATGTCAGTGCATTGGGTCCATTTTCTTCCTGACTGGTAAAACAGAATACTGTGATCACTCTCGGTAGAAATCAAAGGTGCCTGTACACAGACATGGAAGTTGCTCCAACATGCTGTAATTACAGCACATCAGAGCAGACTCGATTACTTGAGCCTGCTGGAGTGTGGCAATTACCATGCTCCAGCAACCTCCTGTGTCTTATGTATCAATCCCCCACACTTAAAAATGGCAGTGGGGGTGCTTGAACTAAAGCTTGTTGAATGGGCTTCAGTTCAAGCATCCCCACTGCCATTTTTCATAGATTCCATAGGCATTAGGGCTGGAAGAGACCTTATGAAATCATCAGGACCAGCCCTCTGCCCAAGGGGCAGGAAGCCAGCTGGGGTCAGACCACCCCAGCAAGATAAGCATCCAAGCGTTTCTTAAAGGTATCCAGAGTGGGTGCTTGCAGCACTTCTGTGTGGAGTCTAGTCCAGACTCTGGAGACTTGGATGATAAAGAAGTTTTTCCTTATGTCCAATTTAAAATGGTCTTCCAGAAGCTTGTGACCGTTAGACCTTGTCTTCCCTTGGTGTGCCCTGGTGAACAGACATTCTCCCAGATCCTGATGCACACCCCTTGTGTATAAGCTGCCACCAAGTCACCCACCCCTGAGCCTGCACTTCTCCAGGCTGAAGAGTCCCATGCCTCTCAGGCTCTCCTCATAAGGCCTGTTCTCTTGACTTCTAATCATGCGCATGGCTCTTCTCTGGACTCTCTCAAGCTTCTCCACATCCTTTCTAAAGTTTTTAAGCACAGGAATGCTGATACATGAGACATGGCAGTGCTTTAATTGAAGTGGCTTTCAGAGCCACTCTAATTAACAAGCCACCCCCAGCCCCAGAGTACTTGTAAAAGTGCCCTAACAGCAAGAAGAGAAGGATTATTTCAAACAGGCTTTAAAGAAGCAGCGATATTGCATCTGTCCAAGAGACTTTTGCTTAGTTGTGAACTGGCCAGTTACTGTCCACCATGCAGTCTTCACTTTTGGAGAAAAAAGTTGTAGTGTGACAACACACACAATATCTGCATGTCTTTGGTATCTTTGACCCACCTCAATCTGTTTGGAAACCTGAGTTTGGCCACGAGACTGAACTGGTTGTGCTGATCAATTATCTCCTCTTGGCAGCAAATAAAGATCAAGTGTCCATGACTGTACTATTAGATCTGTTAGCTGCCTTCAATACCATTAATCACAGGATGTTATTGACTCACACGCAGACCCAAGCAGAAATAGATAAAATTGATTTTATGTAGCTTCAGAGAGAGGCTACAGATAGGACTTGAAGGCAATTCTCCTGCTCCCCGCAAGGCACTCAGAAAGTGAGGGGGTAGTAACTTCTTCAATTAGGGGCTTGATAGGAAGGTTAATGAGAGAGAGGTGGTGATACTTTCAGTGTGAAAATGATGCACAGAGCTGGGTAACTTTCATCTAGTTCATTGACTGCTGCCAAGTGTCTGAACCAAAGTCTGGTAGGGAGGGGGACACTTATGAGAGAAAGCTCTGAAACTCATTCCAGCTGAGATGAAGATGTGTCAGAGAAGATGAAGGTAGTAACGTTTTGTCCCTACCTCTGCATCAGAGAGGAGGGAGCCCACAGCCTAAGGTGCTTTAGTGGTGCAGCGTGTGGAGCTCATGGCCAGGAAGATAAGAGTGAATCATGGTGCCTGGGTATGTGGTGCAACAGGGGGTGCAGGAAACAGCAGCAGGAACTCCTGGGCACATGGTGCAGCAGGGGAGGTGCAGCGTTTAGTAAGGGAGTGTAGGGAGGATAGACATGCAATTTCTGGGTCCTATGGTCTCCACTGGTGCAGGTCAAGAGATGTGCAGCACCCTTGGCCACTTAGAAGTTGGATGGCCCTGAATTAAGTTATGTTCCAGAGTGGCTATCCTTTGTCTGCATTAGTGGTTTACATAATTGTTAAACAGAGACAGCAATAGGTGTGACTTTGGTACTTCATTTGACATTTGTAAGATATGTGTCCATTACTGATACCTCACACACACAGCAAAAAATTCATTTTCCCAATGGTCCTGTCACATCTGCTAATAAATACAATCTCACTAATTTATTGTCTCTTTCATCTAAAACTCACCATATGATAAAATTCCAACTGGTGTACAAAGTCAGACCAATGCTGAATGCTTTTTGATAAAGCCACCCAGAAAGTAGCCCTAGACAAAAGAAGGAATTAGACCCAGAGAATATATACTTATTACTGGCAGGTTTATATTGTTCTTCTCTAGTCTTTTACAGACATTTGTATCAAACTGTATTTGCTGAAATGGTGAAATAGATTGTATGTAGTAGCACCTCTACTTTGGGATATCATGTGTGCACTATAGGCAGCAAGCAAAAGACTGATGAATGTGCCTGTGCAACTTTTAACATGCCAGTGATAGGTGTAAAGTGGTCCACAAAGTGTGTTCATTATATACAAAATGGCATTCCAAAGAACATGTTACTTTCAACAATATTGAGTTTCTTTGTTTTTGTAAATTATATTTATTTCCTTGGAAGGTCTGGCATAAAGGTTACAGGTACTGTTATGCCAAACATTTAGAGATGCCAGGCAAATGCTTTTTACTGTTTTCCTTCTTAATAATCCCATCCAGTTGAGGAAGAGAGCAGCCCTCCAGGAGAAAATCACCAAGCTGGACTCTATTCCCCTTTTTGCACACAATATTGAAAAAACAGCAAAGGGAGAGAAGTGATTGCACTCTGCTTAAAAGAACTTCAAATGTGGTTCCCGCTGACTATCTATATGTTGTAGAAGTGACACAACTGAAACTGTAGAGCATGAATATGTGATGAATAATTTGCCAAAGGGTTTTTTGCTTATTAAAGGAGAAACCATTTTAGATTGCAATGTATGCTTGTAATGTATGAAGAAGGTAATTATTAAGGAGTAGTTGGGGAAATGGAATGGAATTGATTAGCTAGACTACAGTATTTTGCAATGTAAAGTCATTTTCACTAAGTCCCCCCACCCCCCTCCCCTGCAAGGGAATACATGCAGGCCCAGTCTTGCACATTCTTCCTGCAGCAGTCCTGTAGACCTCAGTGGGCCCAGGACTATGATCCAAAGTAGTGATTTGCAACATCTTATTTCCTTTTATTAAATAAACCCAACAACCAGTTTGGCCTGTGAATCTCAATTGCAATTGTTTGTTGAAACTGAAAGTGACCAAGTTAACTTTCATATTGCACACCCTTAGGATATGGTCAGCTACTGAAAATGAAATCTTGATCACTCTAATGACATCAGTATTACCCAATGTCTCATGGTAAGAAATACCAAATCTAGTTGAAATTTTAAATTTATAATGACTTAAATCTTCCATTTAGGAGTAGACCAGCCCATGTTTAAGTCCTCTGGCTTAATGAAGTCAAGGGGAGTTTAGTCATTGATTTCAGCAGGACCAGGGTTTTCATACACTGTCTCTTGGAAGAAACCTGGAAAAGAATGGAGATCTACTGGGATGAGATATAATCCATTTAAGATCAATCAGGATGACACAATATACTTAACAAACATCAATGATTGAAGCCCTCAAGTGATGAATCATCTGTTACTGATCACTGTTTTCACTCGGGTGGGGGAGGAAAGCAATTCAATCATAGAAATGGCTTGATATGAAAGCTCAAGGAATTCTGGTTTATTAATGCATCTGGCCAAATCTCCAGCTGCACTCTGGTTCCAACTGCAGCCTGGCTTAGATGTAAGACTAATAAGGAGTAACTCACACTAGTCAGCTTTAGAGGGAAGGCCACCTGATGCTACTTGCCATTGACACTCTACGTCCTATTGCAGAAAGAGGTGGTGGGGTGGCGGAGGGGCTGCTCTCCTCTCTGTGTTTGTTTTCTGAGCCGGAGCCATTCCTGGAGTCAGAACTGTCCAAGTCGCTGGCCAGGTGGTTCTGAGATAACACCTCAGACAGAAAGCTGGACTGGTGGTTGCCCTGATAGTGCCCACTGTCTGGAGAGTCACAGCAAACCTCCCCAAGGTCCTTGCAGCTGCTCACCCAGTTGTGTTTGTGAAGGGCATTGTGGATGGCTTGGGGGATCTCCATCTGGCTGGCACTACAGGGGGGCTTAGCCAAATAAATAGGTTTCCTGGGCTGCTTCTGGGTATGCTGCTCACTTTCTGAGCAGTCCTCACAGCCCAAGCGGGGCTGCTTCTGGGTGTCCCTGCTGCTGGAGGAAGGCTCTCGCTGCTGGTCATTGTGGTGCTGTCCCACGTGCTGATTCGGGAGCTGTCTCTGCTCCTGGTGACTTGCTAGAGAGTGGGCCAAGTGTCTGTAGGGGCGGTGGCACTGTCCGTGGTGCTGGTCGCCCCTGTTTCTCTCCATGCTGCACTGCTGTTGCTCGGCACCCATCCTCACTGCAAACAAGCCCTGATCAGCAGACACCTGGAGCACTTTGTATCCTTGTTGTAGGGGAAGGTAAAGTGGTAGCCCCACCTGCTGGTCTGGCAAAAGTGCATAGCCGCTTTGCGGGGAGGAGTTGCTAAGGATGCAAACTTGATGGACCACTGAGTTCTTCTGGGACTCATAAATGCTTGTCTGTTCCTCAGTGATGCCTCCTTGCCTCCTCTGGTTTCCAGGAAGAGTTTTCTTTATCTTCTTGATGCCCAGATGGATAATCTCCAGGATGTTCAAGAACAGGGAGACGGCAGCAATACCATGCATGAAAACCATAAAGATGGTTTTCTCTGTTGGTCTGGACACAAAACAATCCACTGTGTTAGGGCAGGGAGGCTGAGTACATTTGTAAAGAGGGTACATTTGAAACCCATATAAAAGATACTGGCCTATCATAAAACCCACTTCTAACACTGACCGGGTCAAGATATGCAAGACATAAGTGCGCAGGAGGGACCCTCTCAATGGTGCCTTGTTCACTTTCTTTTGGTCTTCTAACTTCCTCAGCTCCCTCTCCATTCTCTTGTGCTCTTCCAAGACAGGGTCTGCATCATCTAACTGGGCTCTGAGATGGGCTTTCTGTTGCTGCTTCTCTTTCTCAAGGGCCCTTACCCTGTAAAGTGCATGCCCCATGTAAATGAGGGATGGGGATGAGACAAAGATAATTTGCAACACCCAATATCTGATCAGAGAGATAGGGAAAGCTTTATCATAACAGATGTTGCTGCAGCCAGGTTGCTCAGTGTTACAAATGAACTCAGATTGCTCATCATCCCAGACATCTTCTGCAGCCACTCCCAGCACCAGCATCCGGAATATGAACAGGATGGTGAGCCAGATTTTGCCCACAATGGTGGAGTGGATATGCACTTCTTCGAGGATGCTGCCCAGCAAGTTCCAATCCCCCATGATCAGAGGTTCATGTCTGAAATGGAAAGTCTCATGTTGTTATAGCAGCCCATGGTAAACTGCATTTCAATAGGAACTTACTTTTTGGGCTATTTTTAACTATTTTTCCTTAATTCTTTATGAGTACTGATAGGAGAAAAGATTGTAAAAGTTCAGCACTACTTCCTAATCAATGGCTCATTAAACACACACAAAAGCTAAGATCTTGCTAAAAAGCAGGCTGAGATGAGGAAGATCATCCTCAGATGAGAGAGGATGATTTCAGCTATGATCTTTGACTCTGCCTCCTCACCTATGGGCTTACATTAATTACATCATTACTTTTGTTTAAGCACTCAATTTTCCATTCCATTATTGTTCATTGTGCATTGTTCATTGTGTCTTGTCTCAACAGGGAAACACCTTTTCCCAAACAATTGCATGGTTGGTAGTGCTGTGTTGGCTTGGTATGAGACAGCTAATGCAAATTCTTTTCAACAGAGAACCAGCAAGCAAACTTAGGTCCACTGAAAAGTAGTCAACAGCCATGACAAGAGATTTTCATAGCTGTTGCTTTATATGAAGAACTAGCAAATTACCCATCAAGCATGATGGGGGTGGGTGGGGCAGGGACAGAAGCCTGAATCTCCCCCCACACCTCAGGTCAGTGTCCAGCTTCCCCCCTTCCCCACCCCCTGCCACCTTGGGTCTAGGCCCACTCCCCCTCTTCCTCACCAGCTGCCTTGGGCCCAGGCTCATTCCCCACCTTCCCCCCAGCTGCTTCGGGTGTGGACCCCTGCACCCTTCCCACCCCCTGCCATTCAACCCTGCACCACTGCCTCCCAGGACTGGGTGGGGGGTGAGTTTGCATGTGGCTGTGTGCTGCCACCAGTCAAACCCCTTCCCACTCCCCTCCTTTCCTCCCTTAATCCCTGCCACCTCTCACTCTCTGCCAGCTGTTATTGAGTGGGGGGGGCTCAACAAGGAGCAGTACTGGGGGGGCAAGGCTGGCACCACTGGCCCCCACCCACTCCAGCCCCTCAGTCCCCACTGTAGTGGTGCTGCCCTGCTACATGTCTCTGTCTGTGCAGAGCACTCCGATTGGCTGCTGAGACAACCAATCAGCATGTGACTAAAGCATTACAGACAGACAGATGGAATAAGGCTTTTATAATATTAGAATAATTCCATTCATCCTTCTACTTCCTACCATACCTAGGCATAATCCAGAAGTTTTCACGTGAACCCAAATAATTAAGAGCTAGAGAGGTTTTTTTTCAGCTGAATGAGAAAATTCACATGCAAGAAAGTGTTTGTAGGACTGTGATCTTAGCCTCTACGCAGGCTGATTTTTATCGAGGGCAATGGAACTTTAGCTTGACCATGAACATCAGGATTTGTGTGTGCATTTATAAGCAAGAGAAAGCATGATGCCATGGCTGAAAGGTTTTAATCAGCAAGTGCAGGATGACTTGCTTTATTAGCTCATGTCCAAAAGCCTCTATTTTCTTCAGCAAACTGGAGCAAGAATCAGTGGCATGTGTGGCATGCCAGGATAGTAAATTGGAAATCCTGTCTAAGCTCCAGGTAAGTTCAGAGGTTGAGATTTCCCTAGTATGGTGGCAAAATACAGGAAACTGGTTAAATGTTTTCTACAATAGGGATGCCATTTGTGCTAATACCAATCCAGTTTAACTGGACCTAGTAAAAAATTCCCAGTAGTACCCATGGAGGGTGCCGGATAACAAAATATGCCAGTTAATTGAGAAGCCCGAACAGGCATCTTTGCCTGTTTGGGCCGCTGCTTCTCCTGCCATGTCTGGGGCATCACTGCCCCTCCTGCACGCCCCAAGGGACAGGGAGGCGGGCCCCATGCAGCCTGCTATGTCCTGGGCTGTGGGGGCTCGGCAGCGCAGGCTGCTTTGCCCTGGGCTGTGGGGGCTTGGTGAAACTAGAAGTGCCACAGTGGGCACTTCCGGTTTCACTTTTACCTTACAAGCTGGCATGCCAGTTAATAGAGCAGGCCAGGTTGTAAGCTGCTGGTTAAGGCAGCATTTACTGTACCTAGAAATGCTATTGTATTCCCTCTAGTCCTAGTATTGAGAGAGCACGAGCAAATAGTATAAATCCGTATTTGCTTTGTCCATACCGTTCAAGAGATGGTTAAAGGTGGCTTGGTGCCTCTGACAACCGCTCATTACAGCATGTATGTTCTTGGCTCCAAGCACTTGGTAACATTCAGTAAATTAAAAATCCGTATTTTTTTCTGAGCCATAATTGCATTGCTTAACTTCTTTGGGCCACTTTCTCAGGATATCCAGTTGCTCTGAACTTCTTCTGCTCCTTTTTATTCCTCATGATGCCTGACATTCTCTCAAACCATGAGCTGTGCTAAATCTGAACTTCTTCACCTTACTGAGTCTCTCAGGCTCCAGGTCCCCACCCTACCATGCAGCTCTATTAACATGCTGGCTTTCAGTTGCCTGCTATAGCTGGGAGACCCACGTTCTAATGTGATTTATGGGTTGCAGCATGGAAGAACACTACTGCAGAACCACAGCAGCCTAGACTGTAGTTTATGATGCAGTATGATCCCCCATCCAAGCTCTATATTAGTGTCATCTCATCCATACCACAGGCAAAAGTTCTATAAGAAAAATGAAGCACACATGAAGCAGGTCATTCTGATAGCATTAGTCTGCATGTGTCCTATGTTTTCTTCCATTGCATTTCTCTTTTTTTGCACACTTGAATCCTCCCATGACTTCCCCTTTGATAAAGGACATTTGTTCAGGAAACCTAGTTATTCCAAGTCTCCTGGTTCCCTGACATATCTGGAGATACCCTCTTTGTCCTTCTTTGCTGACCACCAAACCAAGTACATCAGAAATTTTCTGGAGAAAATTGCAATGAATTTCCTGTTTTTGTGGAATGTTTTAAGGTTATTTTTTATAACTTATTTCTTTCACATGGGATACCCTGCTGTGTATCTTCAAGATCAACAGGAAGCTGGGGGAAGGAAAGATCTGTCCCATTCTGAAATGTTCATTAGAGAAAAGTTATATCTTAGCTTGTGCAAGAGGAATAGTTTCTGTCACACTTTTAAGATCTTGCAAGTCAGAAAAGCTAATCTGTGATAATTCCATGTAGCAATTGTATGTCAACAAATACACCTAAACGTCAATAAATTCATTCAAATTATGAACTATTGAGCCGCAGAGTGGGAGAACCAGGCTTACACACAGTAGCCAGCTTCCCTTTCCAAAGAATTCAATGAGTTGAGCATTGTTTCCTGTCATTTGCTGCCTTAACAGGTCTTGCTACAGCACAAATCCTGAAAGATGCCTCACTTCATGGAGAGTATAGCAATTTAAGAGAATCTCATGTACATTTTTTGAGATGTCAAGGGCCTCATCTAAAGGTCCTTGTTGGACACACTTGGCTGGGATGGTTTACTTAGGAATGATCCTGACTTGAGCAGAGGGCTGGATGAGATGACCTCTTAAGAGCTCTTTTAGCCCTACTTCCCTATGATCCTAAATTGTCAAGCTTTGTATGAAGAACCATGGAGGGCGGGGAGGGGGCGACAACAAAGCAGTGACAAGGACCTATTAATGTCAAAGGTGAAGAGGCAGGGAAAACCTAGCCTCTTTCTAGCACAAGAGGTAGAACAGCAGTGACCTATGGAGAATGAGAAGTCAAAATATCCATTTTGGGGAGCAAAATGAGAAGATAGCGCCCAAGCTCTACCGAAAGCATTTTGCCTCTTAGATTACCTTTGCCATAGTTACCTTGAAATAACTCTCCCCTGCCTCTCATTAATACCCACATGAAATGAGTAATTCAAGCATTGTACAGTTTAGACTTGTACCACTGCTGTTATATCTAGACAGTTACTGTGGCAGAAGAATATTATTTACATGAAGGCTCTCCCTGTGACTGTGAAAGGGAGTATTAGCTGCCTTTCATGAAAGCCACCTTTCTGAAGAAAAGCAGCAAAACTTGCCATTAGTCCTAAAGTTATAGATAGGCAATATTCTTTTAGTCATAATATCCCCATGCCCCTGCCCATCTCTCTGTCTGTTTTTACTTGAGCTCCTTGCCATGATCTGCTCTTCAATATCAATCTCAGAATATGAGCAGCTGAGTGCAAAGGAATATCATATATTGAATGATAGCCCCTTACAATACAATGACTGGATCTTGTTTAATCCTCTGTAAAAGTAAAATAGCCAGAACAGCATGTAAATATTTTGCATGCTTCTAATTTTGCTTTTTGAATGACTGAAAAGGCTTAATTGACATCACAGACTGTAAGTGTTTATGTCTATATTAAATCCTCCAAAAACACTCACACAACTCGAACTGGGGGTCAGGACTAGACTTGTACCGGAAAAGTGGGTTTTCTTGGTTTTTTTATTGATTTGTTCTTTGAACATTAGGTTGATTCATTTACATGATCCAAATTAAAGCTGAGTTACAAACCTGTTAAATGCTAGCAGGCACTTAACTATTAGTATGGTTACAGTTATTCTAACCATATACCATGGTTAGAATGTATTATTAAATTAATCAAAAGATCAATGTTAATTAGGTCCCCCACCTTTCCCAAAGGATACTTTTTAAACCAAAAATAACATATTTAATATACAAATATTTTTTTTTTTGGTATTGCTTCTTTTATGGTATCTATACCTATCTGTCTGCTCCAGGCTTTTCCCACAAATAAGCTAAAATGTTTTTCTGCTGCTTACCTTATAAGAAATCTCTTGGTTATTAATATCTTAGAGCACGGCAGATGGAACATGTACTGCTGCTGAATGTTACAGCCCAGAGAACTTCCTTTGAAACTGATAGTTGTCTTTTCAAGAGCAGACACATAGATGTGGTACTCTGAACATAATTCATAGTTCTGTGAATGTTGATGCTGGAATTGCTGAGACCAAACTATGTAGGCAGAGTCTGATCAGCTGGTGATGGGATGGTGCCCCTAGCCAGAATTACCATGCAATTATTTGAGT